ACATTTTTGTTTGTTGTCAACAATGTTGAAAACAAACATATGAAATTTGATGTTTTTTTTTTTCACTTAATGAGAAACTTAAATATTAGCTAAATAATTGAGCTAATATTTAAGTTTTTAAATTAGTGAAAAAAAGTGCATCATCACATTTCATAAAACAAACGCAAAAATTTATTTATAACTTAGACTAAGTCTTAGTAAGCAAATGCAAAAATCAAAACAAAAAACATCATATAATATGCGGAAAAAAAAGCATATAATGCATACATAGTCTTAAAACAAATTTCCTAAGCATCAAATCTTCAGGAATACATATATAAATACTTGGTTTAGAGAGAAGAAGGGCTATACTTGCTTTTTGGACAGGGAAGCTTTTTAAAAAAAGTTTTTTTTTAACTAAATTGACCTTAAAGTTTTTAAACTAAAAATTAAGAACTAAAAATTTTTGTATAAATTTGAAAAAGGTTCCCCTTTCCATTCGATTTCTCATCCTTTTTTTAAATCTATATGGAAATTTTCATGCAAATTGGATGTGTTTTAGTACTTAGTAAATCTTACCTTCAAAAGCTACTTTTGAAAAAACGTGTCCGCGGCAACTTTTTTTAGCAAAACTTTCTATATATTGCTGGAAAGAGGTTGATTAACACTAACTGATGCTAAAAATTCCAAGGTGATTGCTTAAACGTTCAAAAAGATATAAGAGAGTAAAGTTTATGAAAATTCAGTGTTTTTGATCAAATGTCAAATGTTTTTTGTTGCGCCTGGAATCGCTAACATAGCATATGTATATATATATATATATATATATATATATATATATATATATATATATATATATATATATATATATATATATATATATATATATATATATATATATATACACACAGGGGCTATTCTAGAAAATAAATTTGGGTGGCGGTACCTCCTGTCCCTCCCCTGCTTCTTCCCGGTTGAGTGGAAATATTGACAAATATAGATGTTTTTAAACATTTGCTGTTAGAAATGAACGGGGAAAAAATAATAATAATGTCCTCAATTTTTTGACCTCAAAAATGGTCTAGAATATATATATATATATATATATATATATATATATATATATATATATATATATATATATATATATATATTAGGGTAGGTCGATTTTAGCTTTTTTTTTGAATTTTGAGTTGCGTAATGTTGCAGTAACTGTGTCTTGGTTAGAAATGAGGTTTTACCAAATCTCAAGTATCCTGGTTTAAAAATGGCTTGCGGATTTGCATTTTAAGTCTTAATTTTGGACTAGTTTTGTTAGATTGTTTATTTCAAACGTTGCAAAATTTTATTTTAAGTCTAGTAATCTCGTTTTAAAATATCTCGTTTTGAGTATATAAAGTAACCAATAAACAAGTGCAATTGTTTTAAGAAGCCAATAAAGTTTCGCTAAATCGTTTACACGCATTTAAACTTAGCAAATCTTTTTTGTATTTATATTTCTTGTTTGTATTTTAAAGTTAGTTTTAAGGTTAAATTTATTAAAAAGTAGGTTCAAAAATAAAACTGCAGTTTAAAGAAATCTTTTAATATCAAAGGTAAATACTTATGGTTATTATATCTAGAGTAATGTTTTAAACTGTTTATATTACATAACTTTTGATTTGCAATTTCTGAAGTAGATTAAAGTATAAAACTTTTCGATGGAACTAATGGTTTTACTCAATTCCTGAGTTTCCTGAATTCATGGCCCCCAAATCTTTTCAAAAGAGTTTTATTTCTTTATTTTTATCAAAGCAGGTTTTTAATAGTAAGTTTTAATATTTTAGGTTTTTTTGATGCATAGGCCCCCACTAAAAACTCACGCTGTTGCCCATTACTCTAAGTGTAATACTTTAATACAGTTTACATATATAATTAATTTACAAAAATGCCGAAAGTAAAGGTTGCAATTACACGGATGAAAAGTGAAAAAAAATATTGTGGTGGCCCATGTGAACTATCAACGACAGATCCAAGCACTTTTAGACAGGTTATTCAGTATTATTACTATCTTATTCATATAAACCCAAATGTAGATATTGTATTAGTGACTCAGCAAATTAGCAATAATATAAAATCAATTTGGGCTACAGTAAACCCAAGATTACCTCTTAAAACTGACAAATCTATTAATAGGAAAGTTAAAGATCTTCTCGTACTTGTTAAGGATATTAATCGCAAGCACGGAAAAGCAAGCGCTAAAAGAAATCTTGATGCAAACTTGGACAAACTTTTTGATATTTCTGCGTGTTCCTGTTCATTAGATGTGTTTCCCTGTAGTGACAGAAAAGTTTCATGTAATAAATAAAATTGCATCAAAGAACATATTGTATGCCTTTGTTCTCAAAGTAATAAAGTGCCTCTGGAAGACAGAGCTTATCTTCGTGATCAGAGGAAAAAAATTGGTCCAAAAGGCGCATATCAACTTTCTTCCGTCGATAGATTATCTGTCAAAAGGATTCAAAGACTTGATAAAGAACGACAAAAAATATCTCATAAGCTAGTTAATGAAGATGAATCCCTCATAGCACAAGTAAACTTAATTGAAGAAACAAGTGGTTTGACCAATACGGAGGTAAATATTTTATAAATACATGAAATATTTGTAACAGATGAAACAGAAAGCGTTTTATTTTATTAACTCTTTTTAGGATGAAGGTGAATGGAAACCAGTAAATAATCCTATTGGAAAATACAACTTAGTTAAACTTCCAAGATTTGCAATGGAATTAGTCAGAAATGAGTGTTCGTCAAACGTAGGTGCAGCCCTTGCAAATGCTTTACTATATGACATAAAACATCTCTTGAAAAATGACGTTGATATTAAAGATATTTTGATTGACAAATGCAAGTTAGATAGGGCCAAGTCAAAAGTAAAAATCGTTAGTGAAGAGGTGGACTCAGAACAAAAAAAAACAGTTAATTTGTCTTGGGGTTGACAGCAAGCTCGATCAAATAACTAAAACAAGTATAGTAATAAACTTACCTCAAGGAGAAGTACTAAAGAAATGCATTGAACTTGAACATCACCTCACGTTTACTTATGTAGATGGAAAATCGAGTGGAAATTATTTGACTCATAGGACGATTCCTGTTACCGGTGCTACAGGTTTAGTTCTTGCTACCGAAACGTTTAGTGTTTTACAAGAACATAACAGTTTGGAAAGTATACAAGCTGTTCTTCTTGATAATACTGCTGCCAATACTAGACCAATAAGTGGCTTAGTGGTAAAACTAGAAGAGTTTTTAAAAAGAAAACTACTTCTAATTGAATGCGCATTACATCAAAATGAACTTCAGTTACGAGCTCTTTTTGTAAAACTTGATGGTGACACAACTGGGCCAAGAAGCTTTAGTGGTCTACTTGGCAAAAGATGTGCTGAAAATATTCAGGATAAAAATCAAGTTTTGTTTAATCGTATTGAAAACCCAATTGTAGATGGATATATTCCAAAAGAAATACTAGTAGACCTTAGTTGCGATCAAAGACTTTTATTTGAATATTGCAAAGGAATAGGCTTTTGGTAAAGTTTCTGATAAATGGGCCGCCTATAAAATTGGACCGCTTAACCACGCAAGGTGGTTACACGCAAGGTAACTATAGCTATTTGCCTTCTCTGTTTGTATACTAGAGACAATCAATCAACTGTTTCTTTAAAAAAACTCGTATGTTTTATAGTTCAGGTTTACGCTCCAGCGTGGTTCGATATAAAAAAATCTTCAAAATTTCACGAATCCCCGCGCTTTATTTTTTCTACTATCACTAGAATAAATAATCTCCCCTTTGATGATGTTAAATATATTGTTAAAAAAAACATTAAAAACAATGCATTGTGCCTAAAACCTGAAAATATTCTTTATGCCATGTTAAAAGATAATGACAGCAAGATACGAAACTTAGGTTTTCAAATCCTACTGGGTCTAAGGCAAAGGTATTTTTTTATAGTAAACTAAAATAAAGTTTTGAAAAAAAATGATACATTAAATGTGGTAATTAGATTTGATTTATATTTATAGAGTAAACATCGAAAGTTTGGAAGTAAATTTGAAAAAAATTCCAGAAATTAATTCTAATGCTAATCATTGGTATGAGTTGGTTGATATCAGCATTACTAAATTTACGGAGCCCCCAACAACACAACATTTTTCAATTGAGCAAATCCAATATGCAATTGACAATATATATATATATCTCTTCCATCTCACTCCCAGAGTGTTGAGCAAGCGGTAAAACTTGTGTCGGACGCATCCCAATATGTTTATGGATTCGAGAATCGACACAGCTGCATTTTAACTAAACTACTTAGCAGAAAGATGCGTAAACCGTATATTTCAAAAGGGCATTATTCCCATTCTTATGATGATATTTTTTAATTGAAAATGTTTTCCTAAAATATATATATCCATAGCCAAAATGTTTTTAAATTGTGAAAATAATGTTTATTTTGATATTCTTATGTAAATATAAGAATAAAAGTTTCACTATTTAAATCTTCAAATAGTTAACAAGTTGTTATAAATTTAGCTTAATTGTTATAAACTGTTATAAACTTAAATCATACAGCAAAGCAAATAGTATTGAAAAACATTTAAATATGAACTTAGTTAAAATGTCAAGTTTTGCATATAACGCTTTTTAAGGTGTTTTTTTACGTAATCCAACAAATCTTAAAAATTAAATCCGCAAGCGATTCTTTATCCAAAATCTCTCAAATTTTGAGAGTAATCGTATTTTAACTGTCTACAACTACTGCAATATTACGCAATATGCGGAATTAAAATCGACCTACCCTAATATATATATATATATATATATGTATGTATGTATGTATGTATGTATGTATGTATGTATGTTTAAAATCTAATAAAAATGTGCTTGTGGGGTGTAAAAAAACAGTTCCAGCAATAAAGTTTTGATTATTTAATTCTCTTATTCAAGCAGTTAAAATTTATTTGTGTTGTCTAAATAACCTAATGTTTAGTTAGCTCGCATTCGAATGAATTTAATGGAGTGCTCTGATGACTTGGAAAAAGCAGTCAAAGATCAAGACTTTCAACAGGCTGCTTTTTTAAAAAACCAAATAGCTGACTTGGAAAAACAAAGAGATGAGTATAAATCAGTTGCGAATAGTCAAGAAGAGATGACAGAAAGAGTAGAAAAAGTAAATGCTTTGTTTTAGATTTTTAATTTTTTCATATAGATTACTAAAATTAAAAAATTATTTTGATTTTTTTAAATTAAGAATGATCCAGAAACAATCTTGCGATGTCTAACTATTGCTTCTAGTATGCTTGTGCATATGAAAAGTAGAGAAATTAGTCCAATGTTGATCAACTTAAAAGGAGAGCTGGTATGTCATGATTAAATACTGATTATAATTTTAATTTTAATTTTGTTTTATTTTTTTGGACAACTTTTGACAACTTGTCACATTATTTTTTTTAAATATGTAAGTTTTTGTTGATTAACTGAAAAATCATTTTTTAAATGTTCACACAGTAGCAGTGAACACCTGAGGGAAGAATGAAATAAGTAAAATAAGTCTTTAAACAAAGAAAATTTAGTACAGACAAAAAGCAAAAATACAAATAAAGTAAAGCAACATCAGTTACATTAATTTTACAAGTATAAAATAGACAAAACACATAAATACTGATTAACACAAATAAAATACAGAATAAAATTTAAAATTTTTTACTAAATACTCATTTGAATTAAGAAAGTAAAAAAATTTAATAATTTGAAAAAAAATAAGTTTTAGAGTCTTGTGAAAAATCTTTAACAATATCAATAATAAGGGCAAGTCTGACATTTCACCTTTAAATCTGATCCTAATATATGGGTACCTCTTCCAATTATATAGCAAAGTAGCAGGTTAATCCATCGTAAGACACCTATAGCATTTTAAACTAATCCTTATATTACTTTTTTTTGCCAAAGTCATTTGCAGCTAAGCAACATTCCTGCCACATTCTTACCAAAGTGTACAGAACTCTCTTCATTACTATTTTAACAAGTGCTTAAATCTTGTTTTTACTTCTGCTGAAAAAAATGGCATCTGGCTTTCCATTTTCAAAAACTCTGTAAAACACTCTGAGCTAAAATCATTTGTTCTATCAACAATGATTGGTCAGGTATGTACATACTTTCTGTTACATTATATGTAACAGCTTGATTGGTCAGGTATGTTACATTTTTTAACTGAATGTGTTTTCTTTCATGGTTAAAAAAAAACTTATAGTTTTTTCCACAAATTTCAGTGCTTTGGAATATGCTACCATCTTTGTGTTTTTCTGTCTCGTACAATTTATACTTTTTGAGTCATTACTGATAAAGTCGATTTATTTGCTCTAGAGAATAACAACTAAAAATAAGAATTATTCATTATTTTTTTGTGAAATTTTTTTACATCACCCATCTCTGACATTTTTTTTATGTTGTCTGTCAAACGTTTCATTTATTTAGTATTGCTTTATTACTTTATACATCAATTAAAAAAGGGTATTTAGAAAAGTTAATAAATTTTATAATATTACTTATTAAATTATTAAAAGATTAGTGCTTTTTGAATTTTAGAATAAATTTTAAAGTTTAACTTCTGTGTAATTAGTTTACAGTGAGTGAAATAAATTAAATGATTATTTATTTAAAAACAACTTTATGGCATTTTAAAATTGTTTCGGCTGTGAGCAAGTTGAGGTTAAAAGTCATAGAGGTTGACTAAAATGAATTTGTTGATATTTTAGACAATAACAAACTACAATCCCTTTATGGTATTGTGGCAACTGCATTATTTTTCACCCTTTCTTTAATTTTTATCAAACATAATAATTATTTTAAACATTTTATTAACATTAGAATAGCAAAATGTCAAAGTTTACATACTTTGTAGTAAATAATAATATTTTGCAAACAGTTAAAGATTACAAATTTAATTTAGGTGCACTCTTTTGCAGATTGACAGAGTTTTTTAAAAATCCTGTTATCTCAAATATTTTATGATCAGAAATAAGTTCATTGATAAGCAGCTTATAATCATAATATAATAATCATAATCATAATAAGCAGCTTATAATCATAATTTCTGCTTGTCTAATTACAGTGGAAAATGTTTTGGATTTATGTTTTGAATTGATTGTATAAAAGATACTTCCTCATTACTATTACAGAGATGCTTAAAAATAGAGTGCAAAAGTGCAGTTACAATATATTGATATCGATAAGTTAGTGGGTATGTTAAGTGATATTGAAAGAAAGTCACATAATGCAATACATGTCTATCTACCAAGTTAAGATAAAAAAAAGAAGTTGGTTAATAACATTATTCTCAATCAAAATTTGAAATAGCGAAATGTGTTTTATTTTAAAATTTTATTTTGCTGTTTGAGAAGAGGAGCTCTTAAGACTAATTACCATAACACTATCATGACATGCGCAACTTAATTGCCATAACACTATCATGACATGCGCAACTTAATTACCATAACACTATCATGACATGCGCAACTTAATTGCCATAACACTATCATGACATGCGCAACTTAATTACCGTAACACTGTCATGACATGCGCAACAAATTTCTACTAGCGTTTTGAGGTTTTTAAAAATTTTAAACTTTTTTAAAAAATTTTCTTCCCTTTTTTTGTTATAGTATATAATGACTATCTATATAAAATATATAAATATCTTTACATATGCTATGTATATTATACCAATAGAGCTTCAAAAATATTTTATAAAATCAAAAAAGGTTAAATAAAAATTAATACAAGTATATTTGAACTATAGCAATTTACTTTAGAAATGCCGCAATCTAACCACTATAGCCACAAGGCATATTGTTATAAAAAAAAGACTATAAAACAGCAAATAAATGCTATAAATCAAAATTAAGGAGATGTTGCCACAATACATTTTCAAAGTAAAAATAAAACTGTGAAACTTGGTATTTATTTTAACGTTACTTAATTTGAAGTTTGCATTAAGTTAGATATTTGCATAGACTTCGGTTCACATTTTCTTATAAAAATGGCTGACTCTTTCTTGCCATTAATTTGGGTGTAATGGCTGCAGTGAGTTCCGTGTCAAACACTAGCAAGTGAGCAATATTAATTTGAGCAATATATATGATAATAATAATAAAAGTAATAATAATAAAAATTAAAAAACCAAATCATCCTAGATACTTAAATATAAAATCATTTTAACAATTAATTTTGATTTTTTTTTATTTTTACAGATTTTTGAAGGTATAAAGAATGAAGATCCCTTTATTCGTAATGAAGCTGTAAAATGTTTAGGCTTGATGTCATTATTAAATAAAGAGTTTGCTATGCAGCATCTTTTATTGTTTGTACAGGTAAATTGATGATCATTTTACAATATTAATCTATTTGTGTGTGTGTGTTTGTTTGTTTGTTTGTTTTTTTTAGATGTGTAGCTAATCTTATGAGTATAATAACTTTTCCTTGTTCCCTGGTAATATTTGTAAAAAAGAGAAAGTGGTGTAATTTTATGATTATGTGACAAGGGTTTAAGCTTGTCTTCTTGAACAGGTCCAACTATGTTTAAATATTTTTAAATATAGTTAAAACATAAATTTATTTTTGGACCTTGCCTAAAAGAGAAAAAATTTGGCAACCATTGCCCAATTAGTTCAACTCTCCATTTTCAAATTAGATGCAAGATCAAAATTAGATGCTAATTTTGATCTGGATTGAATATATGTTTTCCATGAGAGCTCAATAGTAAATTCATAAAAAAAAATGTACATCAATGTAGAACTAGGAACATTTTCTATTTATTTTTCAATTTTAGGTTTTGCAAGTTGATCAAGAACTATTACAGATAATGGCTGTCAAAGTTTTATTTGATATCTTACTTTTATATGGGTTGCAAGCTTTTGATGCTGACGATAAAGAAAATGTGGAGTGTGAAGGCATATATTTTACTTTGAATATTGATCCTAATTTTCAGCTAATTTTAATTAGCTGTTGCTTTTTTCTTGTTGTTATTGAAATGCATTTTATGACATTTAAATTGAAAAAACATTTATATTTATTATAAACAGTTTTTATATTTGTTATAAACAGTTTTTATATTTATATAAACAGTTTTTATATTTTATTATAAACAGTTTTTATATTTATTATAAACAGTTTTTATATTTATATAAACAGTTTTTATATTTATTAAAAACAGTTTTTATATTTATTATAAACAGTTTTTATATTTATTATAAACAGTTTTTATATTTATTATAAATAGTTTTTATATTTATTATAAACAGTTTTTATATTTATTATAAACAGTTTTTATATTTATTATAAACAGTTTTTATATTTATTATAAACAGTTTTTATATTTATTAAAAACAGTTTTTATATTTATTATAAACAGTTTTTATATTTATTATAAACAGTTTTTATATTTATATAAACAGTTTTTATATTTATTATAAACAGTTTTTATATTTATATAAACAGTTTTTTTTTTTAAATTTTACAACTATAACTTTACATTAACTTTTTAAGATTTTTTTTTTTATTTATGTGGAAATTTTTTTTATTTGATTGATATATTATTTCAAAGTATATGAGAGTTAAGTTATTGATATTGGGGGTACCGATCACCTAATATTATTTACAGTATAATCTAATTATACTGTAAATATAATAATAAATATAATAATATCAATAGGCTTTTCTTTTTTTGTAAAAAAGTAAGCTTTATACAAAAAAATCAAAAATGGTTACTTAGTTTGTTAAAAAAGTGCGTAGATATCCCCTCAATCAAAAAAAGCTTCTTAATAGTTTTATTTTATTAAAAATTCCGAAATGATTATCTAATACAAATTTGCATCTTTTCAAACTATTTGTCAAATGTTTTTTTTAAACTCAACTTTGGGTATACTTTGAAGAAGCTTGAATATTTTGTATTACTGACTTTCTACATCAGCTATCAAGATTTTTTTTTATTATGTTGAATAACAAAAAATCAGATGGAGTTAATTCTGGTGAGTATGAATGGATATCTTAATTGTGACTTAGTAAAGACAATTTATTACAGTTTAAGTAATAAAGGGTTGAGCGTTATTATAGAAAAATTGGAATACATACTACAGGTCTTTGTTTATTTATTTTACTTATAACAGGTTTCAAACAATTTTTTACATAATATCGACCAGTAATGTGTCAGTGCCACCTTTCATCATAACAGCATTTGTTGTCTTGATGAAGTAAAACATTTTTTTTGAGTCAAATTTATTTTATTATAATTCTGACATTCGCAAACCCAACTAGCATTAATCGCCTTGTGTTGAACTTGTTTCTAGTTATACCATGACACATCCAGTGTAACAACATCACATATGCTCCATATGCTCAAATTTAGGCTTATGGTGACTCTGATGTGTAAACTTGTGGAGTATCTAACATGACATCAGTTTTCTTTTTTAATTGATTGTAAAATGATTAATTGATGTCACGACATTGATTTTTATAAAATCTTTCTCATGGTCTGATGTAAAACTAATTGAACTATTTTATTTTGTTTCTAGAGTTTTCAAATTTAATGATGTCCAAAGATTTTGATTAAATTATGAAATCATTGCTAATATATCTAATTTAAAAATGTTGCATGTCATTGACTACTTTGTTCGAAATGCATTTAATTAAAAATTCAGGAAAAGTCATGTTTCTTCTGAAAACTGAAGGAAATGAAACCAGAACTTCTAGAAAATATTTAAAAGATTTTAAGAATTCACGCATTTGTCAGGAAACTAGACTATTCTTTTATGTGCTTTTTGCTCTCATTATCTCAAGTTTGTACTTTTTTCGATGTTAAAAAAAAGGCACTGGGTGCTGCTCTAAAGAGCTAGCGTCTCTTGTGCCATCTACTAAAATTTATTCTAGTGTTATTTGTCATTCAATTAAGTCTTATATTTTTACTGTGACTGTTTTTAATTGCTCCAAAAATTCTTATTCATCTAGTTTTTTTTTGCTATAACATTAAGTTCTTTGGAATTCGCTTTTTTCATCTTGTTTTCTTGATTCATATAATTTGCAATCTTTTAAGTCATATGTTAATCGTTATCTTGCTCTATAAACTTCATCTTTTGTCTTCCAGTAACTCTAATAGTGGTTGCACCCAGCCTTGTTGAAAGTAAATGATGTTGAAAAAATAAAAAAGAATAGTAACAATGTAATATAATAATAATAATTTGATGATTTTTATTGTCTTGTAGTTACAATCTTATTATGTAATGCGATTTGAAACTTCCTTGCAGTTTTATTTAATCTTAAAAATATTGAAACTTTACTTCAATAGATGGTATTTTGTACTCTCCTGTAACATCTCTTTTGGTTGGTAATTCTGAGACTAAGAACTGTTTTCATGTTCTATATCCTGTAACATCTCTTTTGGTTGGTAATTCTGAGACTAAGAACTGTTTTCATATTCTATATCCTGTAACATCTCTTTTGGTTGGTAATTCTGCGACTAAGAACTGTTTTCATGTTCTATATCCTGTAACATCTCTTTTGGTTGGTAATTCTGAGACTAAGAACTGTTTTCATGTTCTATATCTTGTAACATCTCTGTTAGTTGTAATTCTGAGACTAAGAACTGTTTTTGTGTACAAAATGAAAATTTTATTTGAATCTAGTTTAGAATGTCATTATATTTCTAAATCCTTACAAGTTTATTTGGTTAACAATAAATAAATAATAATGAAAGAACATAATAAAATAATTATTAATTATTTTATTATGTTCTCATAATTCAATTTTCAAATTTAAATGCTTAGCAATATACATTTTACTCTTATATTAAAGAAATGATTGTTATTACTTGAAAAAAAAATTTTTTTTAATTTTTAAAAGTAATAATTTTTTTTTTTTTTTTAAATTTTACACACAATTGAGATTAATTAGCAATTATATTGTTAACTAACCTCAAGCAACTCAATTTGCAATAATAAACCAATAAAAATTTTGAAATTTAATGTTTACTTATTGTACATTTAATCTTAACAACAGCTATACAACTTTTTTTACTTATCTGTAATTTTTATTTCAAATTAGCATTTTAAGTTCATAAATGGTGTTCTGTAAAGAAGACTATGGTCCAAACATTATCTAAGAACTCTTTAAAAAATTCAGGAATGGTGTTGAGGGTTTCTATAAAGAAGGCTATAATCCAAACATTTGAGGGCTCTTTAAAAAAAAATTAGCTAAGCCTTTTATAGCTGGTAATATTATTATTACCTTACTTCAAAGGCACAAAGGTTACTGAAATGTCAGGGCAAAGCAGTCATTTAGTCAGATAGGCACAATCTGAATATTAAGGACATGATATTACCTAGAATATGTCAATTAACTTAGTACAAACTGGCTCGGATTGTTATGATTGTTATATAAGACTTTTATAACTTTGTAATTCTTTCAACTTGATAATACTTATGGTAAGTTGTTACTTATA